CACCCGGCTATTTTTTTTTGGTTGCAGCCGTCATTGTTGTTTGGTGGGTCCAGGCTGGATTTGAACCCGCCACCTTGGGCACATGTGGCTGGCGCCTTAGCCACTTGAGCCACAGGCACTGAGCCTGACAACAAAACTGAACAGATTCTTTGGCCAAAGTGTTTCTTTAATATCTTTATTTATTACGTATCAAACTATGTATTTTGTAATTTCTGTAAGGAGAATGGATATATATACCACTGAGTCTTCAGATATACTCAAAATTTGTCTTGAAAAAAATGCTTCCCAAAGTATGCATAAGTGAAACTGACCAAGGATCTCTCGCTAGTCTATTTCTTCCCTAACAGGAAAAGAATGCTGTTTCTTTGGTTGAGCACTAGATGGAGGCAGCTGACTTATGTCTCAGGTCACGCAATGTCTTTAGATACTCCTCGCTCTTGGCCCAACAGAGATAAACCACACTGAGAGGCAACTGCACCCTGATGTGTACTATTGACTCTCATCTCATGCCTATTCCAGGACATATTATCACTGGAAAAAAGGTAGAATCACCTCCATTATTTAAGTAGTCATCTTTCTTTTGCTGGTTTGTGCAAATTGCCTGAGTTAAATGTGCATACAAACTGACTCCACTGGATTAACATTTCTCAAAAATCTTTGCCCACTTTGTTCCCTAAGGACTGAAGAGAAGAAGATATCTTTGACCACTGCCCTTTGTACCTTCTTTTACTAAACATCTCAGAGAATTAAGTATAGTAAAGAACATAAGAGAAGGTAATAGGAACTAGGAGGTATAAACTACCAATCACGTAAGTTTCTAGAGCAGAAGTGATAACGGAGTCAGAATAAATAATTAAAAGGCCTAAAATAAAGAATTGTCAACACTTGTAAAAAGGGCACAGCTTGGAAACTGAGAGGAATTATAGACAAGCCCACAGATCTAATAACCAGAATAAGTGATAATCTCATATATTTTTATAATCCCAAGAAAAAGGGAGTAATGCAAGTAACAAAAGAGGATATGGGCTCGGCGCCTATAGCTCAACCGGCTAAGGCGCCAGCCACGT